TTATTCCATTGATTTTTAGAGAGAATGAAAGGGAGGGGTAGAGGCAGAGAGATATAAATATGGATGTGAGAGAGACACATGAATTGGTTGCCTCCCCCAGGATCCAGGATCAAGCCTGCAACTGAAGAACAGTGCCCTTGACTGGAATCAAACCCATGACCCTTCAGTCTGCCGGCCGACGCTCTAATCACTCAGCCAAACCGGCTAGGGCTGAAATGCATTTTAATAAACACTGCCTTTATAATTATTAAAAGTGTGTGTACACATTTTTGAGAAACTCTCTATATACATGTTTACACACACACACACACACACACACACCTATAATGGATTTGTCTTTGATTGGTAAGAGTTAATTTGTGATGAAACAAGTGTAGAAAATGCAGATATGACTTACAATTGATCCTCTCTGGGAGCAAGGAGAATTCCCATATAATCAATGAAATATAGCTGTCAGTTTATACAAAAAGTGGGGGAACAAATAATTCATCCTGCTCTATTATAATGCTGCTCTCGATATATTCATATTGTGAAAATTCTAGTTGGCATTAATTGCTCTGAATACCCACTTCCACTTCCACTCATTTCTAGAATTCAGATCGGCAGTGTATCAGAAGCCAAATTAAAGAAACGGAACATTCCATCCCACACTCTGACACATGTAGTGCCAGGCCTGCAATACAGTCCTATTCTGCGAATACCATTAGACTCAGAACCCTTAAACAAATACATTCTTGACAACTATTTATAGATAATTCTTCTAATCTTTAGCTATTCACAAAGCAGGCCCCATCTCCTCTGTCCTTGAGTTCCACGACCCCATCATTAACCTTTTCTAATGCCTCTTACAGATGCCTGGTGCCTTTTCCCCTCAACTGGAACTCACTCAGGGCCTCCACAGCAAAGTATCAGCTGTCTCAAAGATCCATAGGACACACTACAAAGGAAACATTTGTGGTCCATGGACTTGATCCACTCCAGTTAAACAGGATCATCTGGTTGTGAGGAGAGGGCCACCTTGACTCAGCGTTTTCCACTTGGACCAAGTGAAGGAGGTTGCTGACTGCAGTGGAAGATTCTACACTTAATAACTTAATAGACACTCTTGCCTTCCAGCTGGCTCGTGGGCCTGAGCATGCTGTGGAAACCTCTACTCTAAAGACTGTGGAAAGCAGCGGAGTGTCATTTGTAGAATTAGCTTTATTTACCAAGTAAGAAAATACCTAAGTAAAACAGGGAGTAAAGCAATACAAAAACCGAATTTTTTCTTCAAGGATTGCTACTTCTACCACAACGTTTTTGCAATAGCAAAAGAAAAGAAAAGTACTCAAACGTATATGTCAGAAGAAAATGCCTGTTCTTTATTCACTCTACTAAAAAACAACTACTTAGCAGCTTAGAAGCAATTTAGCATTAAGAGCATAGGCAAATGCCGAAACCGGTTTGGCTCAGTGGATAGAGCGTCGGCCTGCGGACTGAAAGGTCCCAGGTTCGATTCCGGTCAAGGGCATGTACCTGGGTTGCGGGCACATCCCTAGTAGGAGATGTGCAGGAGGCGGCTGATCGATGTTTCTCTCTCATCGATGTTTCTAACTCTCTATCTCTCTCCCTTCCTCTCTGTAAAAAATCAATAAAATATATTTTAAAAAAAAAGAGCATAGGCAGATAAAATACACAGATTCACCATCACCAAAGGACCAAGTACAATAATCTTTATGCTCAAGACTTCATTTGAATTCATTTAACCACAGGTTTAACCTTCTAATGAGTGGGCAAAGGCATAGTATACTATTGTGTGTTCTTGGTTGGTCTGTCCAGCAAGTGAGATGTTTTAAAAATGGGTGTAATTGCTCATTCAACTACAACTAGAGCTAATCTAAACCTTCACATAAGAATAATCCAGCCCTAGCTGGTTTGGCTCAGTGGATAGAGCATTGGCCTGTGGACCGAAGGGTCCTGGGTTTGATTCTGGTCTAGGGCACATACTTTGGTTGCAGGTTCCCTGGCTCTGGTCGGGGTGTGTGCAGGAGGCAACCAATTATTGTGTCTCTCTCACATCAATGTTTCTCTGTCTCTCCCTCTCCCTTCCACTCTCTCTAAAAACCAATGGAAAGCCATCCTGAGGCAAATATCCTCAGGAAAAATATCCTTGGGTGAGGATCAACAAAAACAACAGCAACAATAAAACGAATAATCCATACACAAATGAAATTTACTATTTTAGGTGGGCCAGAAAACTTGGAATATCCTGCACTGTAAAAGGGATTTTTCACAAAGCTCTTTCATAAAGTTTTAGGAAAATTAATGAAGTGAAATATTGTAAATCAAGCCTGTGAAGTAAAAAGGCTTGATTTTAGCTCCATAGTCTCACTCATCATTGTCCTCATGGTAAAACCAGTGTAAGACACAGGTTGCTTTGAGGATTTAATTAGGTCACTGAAGTAATAGTTCAGTGAAAATCACTACAATGTAAACGTCAATAAAGATCAGCTATTTTTATTCCTGAAAAGACTCTTCCTTGATCTGGAATACCACATTCTTGTAATTTTCTTTCTTCTTCTGCCCCTACCTTTCACCGTAGAGTTTTTCCTCTCCCCAAACATTAATGCTGAGAGTTTTCAGATTATACAGAATGTAGGTCCTCTTCTCGCTCTGTTCTCTCCCAGTGGGATCTATTCTACCCCCCATGATTTTAATTACCACCCAGAGAACAATAACTCCCAAAGGTGTATTTCTAATTCAGACCCGATTACACACCTGACAACTCAACGTCTCCACGTGGATGTCTCAGAGGAACCTCGAATGCGTTATGTCTAAAAGCCAAAATCACCATCCTGCCATCCAAACATAAGCGTTGCCTATCTCAATAAGTAGCTTCAAAACCACTGCAGTATGCAATCCAGCCCCCTGGGAGTTACCTCCGACACCTCCTGTTCCTCACTTCTAACTATGTAACCCATTTCCTACCCCTTTCCATTTTACCTCTGAAATACACCCCTTGTCTCCACTGCTACTACCACCTTCTGAATCTAAAGCCACTGCCCTATAGCCCCCAAACTGGTTTTCACAAAAGCAGTCTCGCCTCCTCCAATCCGTGCATGACATGCAACTAGAGTAATATTTAAAAATGCACAGGTCCTCCGTTCTTCCCATGGTCCTCTATATTCCAAACACACTGGATCGTTTTTCTTTAAAATGCCAGCCTCTCTCCTCCTTCAGGGCCTCGATTCATCCCCACCTTGTTCCTTCTTCAGGAAGGTATGGGAGGTTGTCCCCTTCCCACCCCTGTATGTCCATAGGTGGTTATTTCTTTCTCATCCTTTATTCCTCTGCTTAACCAAACCCTCCTCCAGAGAGCACGGCCTGTTCTCAGGACAAGGTCAGTCCCATTCATTACACTCTCAGGAAGCACCCTGCACTTCTGCATCAGCGCCTTTGCTATTACTTTGGTGTCTGTTTTCCACAAAAGATAATTAGGGACACAAGTGCAGGGAGCATGCCTGTCTTGTTTATAGTTGCATCCCTTCATCTCAAACACCAGGATTGCCACAAGGAGGCCAGCCAGGACATTGATAAACACTTGCTGCATTAATTAACACAAAAATAGTTCCGGCTTAGTCCTCGACTTGATAATTTTTCATAATTAGTGAAGAAATGTATGTAAAACGAATCCAGGGCCGACTGCGATAGCTTTGTACAGGAAACGAGCATAAGGACTATTGGATTCTATAAGGGGGGAAATCAATTCTGGGAGAGGAATGAATGAGGCCTATACACGGGAGGCTTCTTTCTGGTGCTGGGTGATCAGCCACGGAGAGTTAGCAAGACCTCAACAAGGGAAAGGGGAGAAATGTTCCAGGGAGAGAGGAAGGTTGGGCAAATCCATGGACAGAGACTGGTGAGCAGGCCGCTGTGCGCAAGGAGGGAGGTATAATGATGCACAGATGGGCACCATGTGGAGTGCGTGCCTTATCAGGAGCAAACTGTCTCTCAAAGAGATCCACTGAAGGTGTCACTATCCAAGAATGACAGACAGGAAGGTAGATACCAGATTAGGATGTGCGTGTGGAGACCAGCTAGTAGGCTATTTCAATATTTCAGACAGAAGAGAAGGTGGAAAGAAGGAAAAATAACTCTGCATTAGAATGGATAGTACTACTAGAATGGGGAAGGGCTATGTCACTGACTAAAGAGAAAACCAAAACATGTTGAGAAAGAATGGGTGAAGTGATGAGTTCTGTTTTGGAAACCCTAAAGTTTATGTCCTTACATAATGTTCTGCAGGTAGTTAAAATGCAGATCTAAGAAAAAGGGTGCAAGTAAATTTCAAAAAATATTAGGTTCGAGGAAAAATTTTAATTGGTACATAATCAACGAAACATCATTGCAAAGGCTTGACAAACATGTTGAAGGTTTTTCCACAAACACGTTTTCTTTAATAATGAAAAAATACAATTTATAATAATAAAAGCATGATATGCTAATTAGACCGGACGTCCTTCCAGACGACCTTCCGGACGAACCAGGGCTTCAAGGGAAGCCTGGGTCCTGGGTGCCAGGGGGAAGCCGGTGCCGGCAGCCGGGGGAAGGAAGGCCTACTCTTGCATGAATTTCATGCATCAGGCCTCTAGTAAGTAATAAAAGTTCTTTTATAATAACTGCCTGAATTTTCAATATACCTTCTGCCTAATTTTTATTTTATAGTAGTTAGGAGCAAAGCTCATAATTTTACCATAATTTCACCCCTTTTAAAATAGTTCCCTCCAATTGTGGGGATGGAAGGAACTCACGGATGCTGACTTTTTCTCTAGTCAGTAGAAGAAGAATATCTTTTATGTTTAAAGAAATGCCGGTCTTTGTAATAGGCTCAGTGCAAAAGTTAAAAATGACGTACAGAATTTTTTAAAAGGTCATTCTAATATCAAAATGTTAACATCTGAAATTATGTCATCTTTAATTACTAGGAGAATATCTGAAGAATAATAAAATGGAACACTTACTTTTGCTGCGCCTATCTGTTCTTTTCGAAATTTCTCAAGTGGCGCAATTAATACATCATTAGCGTTTTGAATCTGAAATTAAAAATGCAAATTAATTAAATTATGTATAATTTCATGCAAATATTGATAAAAGATGGCTCATTTATTCACCTTATTTAAATAAACAGCTTTTTTTCTCTTGTTCACATCTATAAATGAAATAAAAATACCTCTCATGTTGTAGTATTTTTCTACTTTATAATTAAGTTGTTCTCACAAATTATGTCATTTGGTTCTAACATAATGTAAATAATGTGAAAACAAGTACATGTGGTAAAATCTTAGTTAAATATTTAACTTTCCTATTCTAAGACATAACTAAGAAACAGCATATTGGATAGTAAATTTACAAATACTTTTAATTATACTGCTTAAATGCAGTCCGTTCAAACATCATTTTAAAACTGAACCGTATAAAAGCTCTTCCATTTTGCCACTAGAATATTATAATTCTACAACTGCAAAATAAAATAAGGCTCACTTTTCTTTCCTATTGCATTATAATTCTTACACTTGGGATTTGCTGGAATGTTTTCATATTTCCAACCCTACTAAAATAGTATCTGATTTATTTTCAATGAACAGTATTTTAGCCTCAAACTCCAAATTGGGATTCCCCTAAAACTTTAAAACATAAATCTTTTAATATTGATCTGTAAGAATATTGTGAGAGGGTTCAAAGTATGGGGGTCAGGGACTGAATGCAAGGAGACAAACATTTCTGACAATAACATTATGCTGGAAGGAAATCTCCATTTTTAAAACCCTTTAGGAAGCATTAAAATTAACATAGAACCTTATATGTCTCACCACAGAAAGAAATGGTAATTATGTACAGGGTGGAGGTGTTAGCTATGGCCATGGTGGCAATCATTTTGCAAAATAAAATGTATCAAACCAACATGTACATCTTGAGTTTACATAGGGTTATATGTCATTTATATCTCAACTAGAGGCCCGGTGCACAAAATTCATGCACTCAGAAAGGTGGGATGCCTCAGCCCAGATTGCAAGAGGGCACAGGCTAGGCCGAGCGACCCCACTGGTGCACGATCAGGGCCGAGGAGGGACGCGGAAGATTGGCCAACTGGGGAGGGACCGCGGGAGGGCTCCAGGATGTGTCTGTCCTGTCTTGCTCAGTCCTGATCGACCGAACCCCAGCAGCAAGCTAACCTACCAGTTGGAGTGTCTGCCCCTGGTGGTCAGTGCACATCATAGCGAGCGGTTGAGCGGTCTTAGTGTGTCATTTGCATATTACACTTTGATTGGTTGAATGGCCAACCGGACACTTAGCATATTAGGCTTTTATTATATAAGATGAAACCTGGCAACAGGGGAGCAGGTCTAATTAACAAAATCTTTTTCTACCACTGTGATAACAACATGATCTATTATCCTATGTAATAAAAGGCTAATATGAAAATCGACCGAACAGCAGAACGACCAGTCGCTATGACACACACTGACCACTAGGAGGCAGACACTCAATGCAGGAGCTGCCCCCGGGGGTCAGTGCACTCCCACAGGGGGAGCACAGCTCAGCCAGAAGCCCTGAGCCGGGCTCACGGCTGGTGAGCGCAGTGGCGGTGGTGGGAGCCTCTCCCGCCTCCAGGGCAGCGCTAAGGATGCCTGACTGCCAGCTTAGGCCTGCTCCTCCTTAATGGGACATCCCCCAATGGCTCCTGGACTGCGAGAGGGTGCAGGCCAGGCTGAGGGACACCCCACTGAGTGCACGAATCTCGTACACCAGGCCTCTAGTATAATTAGAAAATGCTAAGATTAAAAAAAAAAAGCATTTAAAAAATATATTACTCTACTTTAAAATAGGTTAAAAAGTATACAGGAGTGCCTTATATTATTCTTATAACTTTTCTGTATGTCTGAACTTATATAAAAACTTTAACTCCCCACAAAAGGGTTTTACTTACAAAAGGGTTTTACTTATGTTCACTAAACTGGTTATTCTTTAGTCAAGTCTTACTTCTTAAATTCCAGAACCTAAATGCACTGAGATAGTATACACAAAAATAAAACTAGAGTGTTAATGCCTTCCATGGTTCTGTCATTCTCCAATTTGCAGAAAAATGAGATGTGAGATCTTAAAAACACAGCCTAAAATCCTGTGCTGTGAAAACACACAAAATAGATCAATATTCAAGATTCTTTCTGAAACACTGAGGGTCTGGACCCATCCATCACCTGCTTCCCTCCCTGAGCTCAGGCAGGCATCCCTGCACATTCACTGCAGGCCTCTGACGAGAGAGCTGATTGGAAACAGTAGCAAAGCAGCTCACTCTTCATCCTCACTCTCTAAATCCTCGGTGCCCTCATGGAAGCCCAAACACATATAAACGCATACATCTCCAGAGTTCGCAGACATACTAGATCGCCGATTCTGCCTTTAAAGGGAAGTTCGCACAAGGGGAAATGACAACATCATGAATAGTCCAGAGTAAATTGGAAAATAGCAAAAATAAAGACTAACACTTACTGAATGTTTATGCTGGAAACAAGCATGATCTAATGTCTTTAAAGTTAGTGAACATTAACAGGGAGATATTTCACAAGGGCTGAAAACTCCAGCAATGAGGCTGAATAGGATGATATACAGTATAGCACTTAAAGACGCGTGTTTAGAATAAAAACGACCTGGGTTTAAACAGGGTTCTGTTGCTTACAAGCTGCTCTGGAACCCTTCTGAGCATCTGCTGCATCATCCACCGAACCATTTGGTTCTAAGAACTAAGATGATGAATGTAAAACACTCAGCTCAGTGTTTTACATACAATAAGTGCTCAAAATTTACAGCTTTCAATATTGCCAAAAAAAAGAAAAAAAAACAGGTAATGAATCTCATTCTGAATTTACCTACTTATCAGACTTCTATCTCTGAATCTTTTTTTTTGCCCCTTTTCATTGAAGTGTATCTATGTGCGTGGTATTAAAAAAGCATTTTCCTTTGAAAATTCCAAACGACAGACAGCTTGGACTCCCCCACATCCGATGAGTAGGTATTTACATATGTGCCAAGCGCATCGCTGAGATCTGTGGGGATGAGAAGAAATTAAGGACTGGGCTAACCCTTGCAGAAAGTGAATGTCTACTTGAGAAGGGGAGGATGTATTCATTCAACAAGTATTTGATGCCCGCAAAGCACTGTTAAAACTTTTGGAAAAAGTGAAAGACAGAAGGGAGTTACAAGGCAAACCATGCCAAACTCCTTATAAATACATTAGTATTCTGACAATAGGAAAAGATCCACGAGAACCGAATGAGTCGAGGTAGAGTTTGGATAGTGAATATGGACTGGATACACCAAAAGGAAAAATATTCTCGGAAGAGAGATGTACAAAGGCAAAAGGGCAGAACTAAGCATGGCACGTGGGAAGCGGGGTGCAGCGCAGAGGAGAGCAATTATGAAGCACTCATTAAGAGTCGCTCTTACTTGCGAGTGCGCTGACCACGTTACAGCCCTCGTTTAACTTTCTACAATTGGGAGTAGCAGAATGAATGTGAAGCATGTTGAACAGTTCTGGCACGCAGCAGGCTCCAAAGAAGCAATATGCCATTATTATTAATGAATAAGAACATTCTCTAACTGGAGAAAAGAGTATACATTATTAGTAATTCGCTCAATTGGAATAAGTATGGAAAGGGTGAATTATACCCATAATCGGGGAAAGCAGCCTGAACCGTAAAATGACTGTTGGCTTCGGAACAGAGGATTTTTTAAAAATGTATCTTTATTGTTGAAAGTATTACAGATGTTTCCTCCCCCCGCCCCTCCACCCCTTGAGTCCAACCCCACCCCTACCCCCTCCTCCAGGCCTTCACCACACTATTGTCTGTGTCCACAGGTTATGCATATATGCATATAAATTATTTGGTTAATCTTTCTCCATTCACCCACCCACCCACCCCTGGCTTCCCTCTGAGATTTGTCAGTCTGTTCCATGCTTCTATGTCTCTGGATCTATTTTGTTGATCAGTTTATTTTTTTCATTAGATTCCACATATGAGTGAGATCACGTGACACTTGTCTTTCTCAGACTGGCTTATTTCGCTTAGTATAATGCTCTTCAGGTCCTTCCATGCTGTCTCAAAAGGTAAGAAAGCCTTCTTTTCTACTGCCGCATAGTATTCCATTGTGTAGCTGTACCACAGGTTTTTTTAATCCACTCATCTACTGATGGTCACTTGGGCTGTTTCCAGATCTTAGCTATTACAAATTGCACCGCTATGAACATAGGGGTGCATATACAGTATTCCTTCTGATTAGTATGTCAGGTTTCTTAAGATATATTCCTAGAAGTGGGATCACTGGGTCAAATGGCAGTTTCATTTTTAATTTATTGAGGAAACTCCATACTGTTTTCCATAACGGCTGCACCAGTCTGCATTCCCACCAGCAGTGCACGAGGGTTCCCTTTTCTCCACATCCTCACAACACTTGTCATTGGTTGACTTGTTGATGGGAGCCGTTCAGACAGGTATGAAGTGATACCTCATTGTTGTTTTAATTTGCATCTCTCTGATGATCAGTGACTTTGAGTATATTTTTATATGTCCCTTGGCCATAATCCAATTTAAAAATGGGCAAAGGACTTAAACAGACACTTCTGCAAAGTGCAGAGACAGATGGCTAGAGGATATTTTTTAATGTTCCAAAAACCTGTTCTAAGAAGCCAGTAATATATGGGGTACTTTGAGAACGAAGAGATAGAGGTATAATATGCCAACTAAAGGCTGGGGGAGGAACTCGAGCTCGAAGTGGCGAGGAACCAGATCAGGTGCCTGCTGTGTTGACAGATGAGTAGCAGGGAATTGAAGAGACAGTTTTTTGGGAAACAAAGGGAGAAGAATTAAAAGTGACATAAGGTTTACATCAATGCTTTTTTTTCTGCCCCCTCTTCCTCTCTCTAAGCATGTCCTTGGATGAGAATAAAAAAAAATAAAAAAGAGGGAGTATGTTTAGTGGAGTAGAATTAAGACAGTGATTTCACTTTGGAACTATTAGTTTTATGCTATGGGAA